ATTTCTAAATGTCTTACCAAAATTGATGTTATTGAGCATGAAATGTATGTAAAGTAACTAAAGTCATTTAAAAATCCATGTTATTCAATCAACAAATTATAAAAATATGAATCAAATCCAATGTTATTGGAAATATTTTAAATAGTGGATTTTAAAAAATATTTAGTACTTTTAAATAATTTTGTGGAGTTTGTTAGTTAAAAATATAGAAACTCAAATCTCATTGTTTTAGGTGGGATTTCATATAATTTTAATATCAAATCATATCAACTTTCCCAATCCACATAATATCATCTAAAATTTCATTAAAACTCAAATCTTTTCAAATTCTCTAAAATTTTAGTTTTAGGTGCTGTTCGTTTCCTCATCTGGCTGTTGTATCCAATGGCGGATCTAGACTGTAATTTTGTATGTGGCACAACTCAATTAAATAAGAGAATCAAGTATATAAACCACAATGTTTCTTAATAATTGGTTATATAAAAAAAATCTGAAAATCTGTATGGGGCACATGCCCCACACTCTTTCAAGCTGCGTCCGCCACTGGTTGTATCGAGATGTAGATACAAGATGTTGTTCGTTTTGTAACAATTAATCACATGAACTCGATGCAGTAGTTAGATACAAATATCAAACTCATCAAAAAAACCAGATATTTCAGATGCAAATGAAAGTAGAGTCTAGATACAGATATCTCATCCAAAAATTATAAATGTCTAAAATAACCATATCTAATTTAAACAATTACATATCAATATATCATAAATAATAAATTTCATAAAAACCCTAAATTCTGAAAATTTCCAAATTTTATTTTCGAACCAAAACTGCAAATCATATTTTGGCCAAAACTCATAAATTACATTTTTGTCAAAATCATAAAGTTTCATTTTTTCGTCAAAATCGTAAAATTACGTTTTTCGCCAAAACTGTAAAATTATGGGAAACCCGTAAAATTCCGTTTTCCCGCCAAAATCGTAAAATCACGAGAAACCCGTATAATTCTGTTTTCCCACTAAAACCGTAAAATTTCATTTTTCCGCCAAAACTGTAAATTTTTATTTTTCCGCCAAAACCGTAAAATCATAGGAAACCCATAAAATTCCGTAGTCCTACCAAAACCATAAAATCACGAGAAACCCGTAAAATTCTGTTTTTCCACTAAAACCATAAAATTTCATTTTTCCGCCAAAATTGTAAATCACGAAAAAATTATAAAATTCTGTTTTCCTACTAAAACAGTAAAATTTCATTTTCCCGCCAAAACCGTAAAATTACGAGAAAACCGTAAATTTTCATTTTTCCGCCAAAACTGTAAAATTACATTTTCCCGTCAAAATCGTAAAATTACGGAAACTTGTAAAATTTTATTTTTCCGCCAAAACTGCAAATTTTATTTTTCCGCCAAAACCATAAAATCAAGGGAAAACCGTAAAATTTTGTTTTCCGTCAAAATCTTAAAACTACGGAAAACCCGTAAAATTATGTTTTCCGTCAAAACTATAAATTCTGTTTTCTGCCGTAAATTTTTGAAGATTATTTTTAAAAAAAATATATATTAAAAATTTGTTTTCCCTTAAAAATAGTATAATATAGTTTTTTAATCATTTTATTATTAAGTGCATCTATATGTAAATACAGATACACAAACGAACATGAATGTATCGAGTTATAATATTTAGATACATTAATAAAAAACACAAAAGAACAACATCTGGATGCTGCATCTAAATATGGTATATGAATGTTGTATCCAGACACTGTATCCAGATAAGCAAACGAACACTGTATCCAGATTTCTCTAGATAATTGTAATAAAATATTCTAAATATTAAGATAGAATGACACTGTATCCAGACAATACACCCCCCTTTAAAGATTTCTCTAGATAATTGTAATCTAGATATTAAGATAGAATTTTATAGATTTAAATTTAAAATATTTAAAATATTTTATAGTTGAAAGACTATAAATAATCATCTCCTCTCTCATTTGTAACAAAAATATTAAAAAAATATTAAGAAAGTTAAATAAAATTCCTAAATCCTCTAAATTTTTTAAAAAATCCTTCATCTTAAAATTTATTAATTTATTTTGCAAATTCTTAAACACTTCCTCTATCACATAAAAGTTCATTCTTTCCAACAGATTTCACATACGACAAATAAACAACACTGAATTTTAAATTTATCCATATCCAAGCGAATCCCCCGAACCTTTTATTTTTCTATATATAGAGAACCGTCTTCTCCTTACTTTTCAGTAAAACTAAGATTATTTGTATTTCAGTTTCCAGACAAAATCCCTTTTTATAAATTTTTTGTTTTACTATGGCCCACATCCTCAAGACACAACAAGCCCTCGCACTCTCCGGAAAGAAACGAAACGACCGCGATGGTGACGACGGAGACGCCGTGGTTGCTAAAAAATCATCACTGGCGGCGTGTGAAGTGGACCCTGCGGCGGCGCTGGCCAGCATCCGACACGAGTTCGGGGAGCACGGTGGAGTGAACATGTCGATCGAGGCATCCGCCACCTTCACGGTCATGGAACCGGAGACCATGAGGCGGATGTTCGCCGGAGAACTGGGACCGGACAACGACTTCTTTGTATACAGTCGACACTTCAACCCCACCGTGCTCAACCTCGGCCGCCAGATGGCTGCTCTCGAAGGCACCCAAGCCGCCTACTGTACCTCAAGCGGTAATTATATATATTATATCCAGACCCATGGAATCTTTGTAGTGTTTGATACGGAATCTTTGGTAGGACTTCAAACCTTTTTTTTTTTAATATCATTAAGAAATGAAAGACAGAAAGAGTCTGTATAAACTGACATCAACCTTTAACGTTTTAAAAAAGAACAAGAAAAGGCATATATCATAATTAATATCTAATGAGGCGGACGTCAGGTATGTCGGCGATATCGTCGGTGCTGCTGCAACTGTGCAGCAGTGGGGGACACGTGGTGGCATCGAAGACGCTCTACGGAGGAACACACGCTCTGCTCTCACATTTCTTGCCACGGACCTGTAACATAATCACGTCCTTCGTCGATATAACGGACTATGGCGCGGTGGCAGACGCGATCGTTGAGGGTAAGACACAGGTCCTTTACTTTGAGTCGATGGCCAACCCGACGCTGACTGTGGCCGACATACCTGAGCTGAGCCGTATGGCACACGAGAAGGGCGTGACAGTGGTGGTGGACAACACCTTCGCCCCCATGGTGCTGTCTCCGGCCAAGCTTGGAGCCGATGTGGTGGTTCACAGTATCTCAAAGTTCATCAGTGGTGGGGCCGACATCATCGCAGGTAACGTAACTTAGTTTTTGTCGCCATGTACGTTACGTAGTTTCTCTTTCACGTGAGGGAGAAGATAACCGTACACGTGTTGTAACTTGTCTTTTGTGCCGTGACCTAATTAATAAATAAGCAGGGGCCGTGTGTGGGAGCGAGAAGCTGGTGAAAGGGATGATGGATCTACGTGGCGGGGCTCTGATGCTGCTGGGTCCCACCATGAACGCCAAGGTGGCCTTTGAGCTATCCGAGCGAATCCCACACTTGGGCCTCCGCATGAGGGAGCACAGCCGCAGGGCCCAAGTGTATGCGGGGAGAATGAGGGAGCTGGGGATTAAAGTTATATACCCGGGCCTCGAGGACCACCCGCAGCACAAGCTAGCCAGAGGGATGGTGAACACAGATTACGGATACGGAGGGTTGTTGTCAATAGACATGGAGACGGAGGAGAGAGCCAACAAGCTCATGACCTATCTTCAGAACGCTACTCAGTTCGGCCTCATGGCCGTGAGTTTGGGTTACTACGAGACACTAATGTCCTGCTCCGGTAGCAGCACCAGCAGCGAGCTCGACCCTTCCGAGAAGGCAGCCGCAGGCATCTCTCCTGGCCTTGTACGAATGTCAGTCGGGTATGTGGGTACGTTGGAGCAGAAGTGGACACAGTTTGAGAAGGCATTCCTCCGAATGTAATCTCTAATCTAATGTGGCCAACCTTTATGTCTCTAATTTCTTATCTCAAAACAATGTTCTATATATGCGTTAAGATCTTTCTCGAATCTTGGAGTTATATCCTCAAAAAATTCTTGCGTATTTTTATTTTCTTAGATTAAAAATTCAACTTAAAGAATTCGGTGAGGCCTCTGCATTCATTATATTCACACTCAAGAGCCCATTCTATTTTTTTCGCTTAGACTAACCCCAATAGAGATTTTGAAGGATCTAAACAAATGTTCTTAACAATAAAATTGAATTAAAAAAATGGCTTATAGTGTCTTATATTTTAGATCAGTGTCTAAAATAAAACACCAGTGTCTAAATTAAAAACGCATACGTGGCAAGATGTGAGTGGACGATGAAAAATTTCAGTTTCTGAATTGCATATTTATAATTTATATGTTTTCATATACAGTATAAACTTTATAAATTAATAATATTGGGACTTCGATATTTTATTAATCTATAGAGTTATTAATTTATCAGTTTTGGATAAAATAAATTGTTTATTAATAATTAATTAAAATAATATTTTCTTTTAAATTTATAATATTTTTTCAAAATTTTTATTATAAAATTAGAAATAAATGATAAAAATATTTTAACTTTAGTAAAAAAAAATAATAATATACTTATATTTAATAGATTATCATTATTATATAATTATATAAAATTATTTTATATGATATTTATTAATTTATGATATAAATATGAATATATTTTACATAAAGTTTCAAAAAATATTATCTTATTAATTTATTGATTTATATTAAATTTTGGATCGGTCTAACTCGGGACCGAATAAAAGTATTGATTTATCGAATTTATTAATTTATTAAATATTAATATATAAAAATTTCTAGTATTATATTTTTGAAAATGTAATATATTTTAAAAGTTGTTATCAGAAGTTTTTACTTAAATTTATTAAAATATATATATATATATATATATATATTTTAAGACACCATCAAAAGTGTCTCCATTGTATGCTCTAAAATAACAAAATATTATAAAGTATCTTATATACAAAAAACACACAAAATATTAATAATTAATCAATAAGACACCCACCAATAGTGTCTCTATTGGGCTTGCTCTTAAAACTCAAAATAATAAAGAAAGAGGAACAAAGAAATTAAACAACTTTATGTTTTTTTATTCCCTTAATACGTAGGAAGGGGCTAGTGACCGACATATGCGGGCGTAAATGGGTATAAGATGATGATTTCAACAATAGTGGTTGGAGTTTGGTATTTATATATATATATATATGTATATATACTGAAACGAAGAAAAGTTAATTTAATTTGAATGAAGTTGAGGAGTAGTAGTGGATTTGCGCCAAATGAGCTCAAGTTCACGGGCGAACTCCTTCTGCCTCCCAACAACAATGGTGATGTGGTCTTTGTCGGGGACGACGTGGATCCTGGCACGTGGCACTTTCCTCTTGACGCCATAGCTGCACTCCACTGGGATGAGCTCGTCCCGGCCGCCGTGGAAGACGGTGACCTCACAGTCCACGTTGTCACGTACGTGGTCCAGATAGGCCTCCACTTTGTTCCCGGACCCGAAAATAATGTTGTGTAATGTGTGCCACGATGCGTTGTGTGTGTGGCACAGAAAGCCTTCTATCAAATACGTCCGCATCCTGTATATTTCATCATCATCATCCCATTTATTTACCTTTTCATTGTTTCTAGCTATTGTTAGTAGAGGTGAAATTATGCAATAAATTTATGTACAACTGTATTATGTCGCTACATTTTCCTCACATCGGTCTCAAACGTCAACCTCAGGTTGAAGACGAGATTTAAAGGTGTCCGGCTACATTAATTGCACGTGGAAGAAGGAATAGGTAGGTACCTGTTTCTGGTGAGTAGCTTGGTGAGAAATTCCAACAAGTGGTGGTTCTTGCAAAGAACGAGACTGACGGTGCGGCTAACGTGCTCGTACCAGCTAGCCACTGAGGCTCCAAAGGCCATCGGAGGCCACACTTCCTTGGGAGCCAATCTTCTCATCACATATTGCGTCGCTTGCACTCCCTTTGGGACCGAAAAATATGGCTGCATTTTCACATACATGTCAATAACCATACTGACCAGTAATTAAGGATCATTCAACTTGGAATTTATATAGTTGAGTGATGACTAACAGGTGCCAATAGAGTGAGTGACTTGATGGCTCCTGGGTGTTTAACCGCGAGGGCAAGAGCCAATATGCAGCCTAGGGAGTGAGCCACTACGTGGAATGTCTTGAGTCTGAACTGAGATATCACTGATCTCTCTATCATCTCTAAGTGCTCTTTCAGTGTATACAGTGAATCATTCGGCTTTGGACTTTTCCCGTACCCCAACAGATCCACTGCTAGAAACCTATAATTCGATTTGGCCGACTCTGAGAAGTTTGGGAACAGAGTCTCCGTCCAAAACGTGGATGATGATAAAAACCCATGTATGAACACTACATTCTCCTGTGCCTTGTTCTCTGCACATTAAGAATTGTTATCACTTTAACCTACGAAAAAGAGCTTACAGTATGTATTGTTTTGTTACAAATAATTATTTATAAAAGTTAGCTTACTAGTCTATTTCATTAGGATTAATTAATGGGGCCCTTATGTCTTTGAAGGCATTTCATAAAAATGATGTTTAGTCCTAATTAAACGCGACTTTAATGTGTTTCAGTTAAGGATTTCTATTGTACTAATGTCAAACCTTAATAGAGCTCATAAAGTAATTAAAGATGGTTCCTTGATTTGATCCTAAGGTAGGATTCTTTTGTAACCAAGAATAATCAAACTTTTTTTCTTCTTTCTCATGAGAATTTAATACTGCTCTTAGATGAGAATGCATGCTGCACTAGACACTAGAGAGAGAGAGGGAGAGAGAGAGAGGAGCCAAAAGGGGAAGGGTGTTTGAATTTCAAAACAGGACCAGGAAACAGGGGATTGAGATTATGCACCCAATCATACATTCTTACAATATGTAAAATGTAGAGAATTAAATGGCGTGTGTGTATAAAAGTACCTTTGGGTTGTTGGACATTGACAAAGAGAGAATGGTTGGAAGAGGATAGCCAAGAAGTGCAGAAAGTGCAATGGCAATCAGACCATCTTGGTGTTCTTTGCAACTTGTCGACCACCGTGGAATTCACAGTCAGTAATGTCTTTTTAGACGACGAGGATCTCTTCTTGGGCTCATCACAGCATTCCGCAGCATTCTTCTTGAAGCACTTCACCAGCTTAGTGAGCCTTGTGAGGAGTGAAGGGCGTGAGTAGAGTGTGTCGGAGATCTCATCCAAGTGGATCTTTGTCCTTGTGAGCGACACCACCTTCGAGTACTCTCCTGATCTATCCGACACTATCATCTTCCCGCCTCTGCTCCCTCCGGCCGCCGCTGGTTTGGCCTCGGGCGGCGGGCAACAGTAGCACGGTTTCCACTCCGATTCGAAGAAGAAATCAAGCGTCTTGTAGGTGAAGCAAAGCAAGAAATCGACAATGTCGAGGATGAAGAAGACGAAGAAGCCCACGGTGCGGTTGAGCCACCGTGAAAAGCCCATGCTGTGGAGTCTGAGTCTTGTGGAGGAGGGCATGTATGTATGTAAAATTGTATGATGGCGATGTATGTAAGTGAGAGAGAGAGAGAGAGGAAAAAAATATTATAATACATAAAGTTAATGAAGAAAGAGAGAGAGAGAGAACAGGTGGCCGATAGATGAAATTTATTGATCGCATTTAACATACATTGTTGGCCAAAATGATGAAATTGGGTAGCCGTTGAATCTTCTTCGCAGCCCTCTTTCCTTTCGTAATTTCTCAGCGCTCACCACGCATATCCAGCTAATAACACATCCCACAATTTCTTTTCTTATTTTATTTCAAAACATCAAATACTTGTGACTTGTCAACATGTGATGTACATTGGTCGTCCGGTGACAGAGCCTTGCCTTATGTTTAGATTTTTGTTTTGTTTGAGAAGCCTGTAACATTAAACCTTCTATTATGAGAAAGAATTGGTTAAGAAACTAGGATATATAAATTTGACAAATAATTTGATCAAAAAAAAAGTGAAAACAAAATTGTGATTTAAATTTATATATAATATTGATTCCCTTGTTATCATTATATTGTAACTTCCAATACAATATTATAATTTTCTATAACAGACTATAATAACAATAGTAGATAGTCAATAATGATACTACTATATGCTTTGTTTGGTAAGATCATTAATGAGGGCTTTGGCCGGTTGATAGCTTTTGGGGTCTAAAACTAAAAGAGCGCAACTAAATCTATACGAATATATATAAGATTAATTGTTTGTGGAACTGAAACTATTGTATACATCAAATCATTGAAGTAAATGGCAGAGAGATGTAAATCGTAAATGTTGATAGTGAAATAAGAAGAATGAGAAATGATATGGCGACATGTGGCCACTTAACTCAAAGCCATCACTCTGAATGCCCACCGGCCCATCTAAACAGCCTAGCTACCTGTTTTTAGTAATTTCTATAATATGTAACACAATTTGGAAAAAAAGACTTAAAGAGTTAGACTTGCAGTATACTGTATTATACATATATAGTAGTGATCATTTTACATAACGAGAAGGACGTGTGCGTAGTCTCAAGCCACAGCTACTCGCATCTATTTGCCCATTAGGTATACAGTATACTGATACCATCTTCTCTAAGATATGTTATGGGAGAAATGTCGATGAAGTTGAAATATTGAAGTGCTTGTATGAGAAAAGACTAAAGAGTGATATATCATAAATCGTAGCATGGTTAGGAACGTGAAACCATATGCTATGTTTAAGAGGCGGGTTCAAAAGTCTTGCGTCATGCAATGCAATTAATTTTTAAAAAAATAAATAAATATTAACTGAACGAGCTGCTTGCTTCTTGCTAGATCTTAATACGACAAGTTATTGATGGAGACATTTTTTGTTCAACGGTTTTCTAATTTCTATTGTAAGTAAAATAGTTATATATCTGTTCTCTCGACCTTCATATTCTATTTTCTTTTCTTGCCTATAGTAGTATTAGTATATATATATTTACTCTTCTTCTTAAGTTATCCGAAATCTCCCGGTTCTCAATCTTTTACAATTCTTTTTAATATTATGAAAATCTCTGGTCAACGTCAATTTTTCTCACATGTATCACCATATATTTGTCATCTTACACCATCGGGTGGTCTAAGCACCCGGAAAATTCACTAACAGTGATGTACATTCTGATGTCGTACATACGTTTAAGGGTAAGTGAAAATTAACTAGAGGAATTAAGTGTAAAGCTCATACTCGAACCATATGGAGCTGTTTTGGTAGAGCAGCAAAAAAGTTACATGTTAAGAAAAGGAGTTATAGCTACAACTATAAGTTAAAGGCAATGACACACAAGTGTAATGTACGTAGTGGTCAGCGACCACTGCCATAATTTCTATGTGCATTCCATTCCAACATGTAGCGTTAGAGTTGGTTTGGACTGACAAAATCGAGCAACTAATAATAAAAAAAGAATGTGATGAAAAAGGTCAAAAGATTAAGAAGCCATAAATGCGATGTTAATGGAGTTTGGTAGGTAGTTTCTCTTTAATTTACTGTTTCTCATCTTTTGAAACTTGAAAGTGCTCCTCCCCTATTATTTTATCCCTACTTGCAAAAATTTAACCCATTTACTTTACCATTTGTGGTAATTCAAGTGCCTCATTAAAAAAAAAATGGAAGACCAAACAAATTCAAACATAAATACAAATCAACTTTTGTTTTTGTTTTGAAGCCTCAACTTTTTAATGCTAAATAGAAAAAAAAAGAATCAATGCAGAACATAAATACTCATCAATTTTAATTCTACACATGAATTTTTTTATTTTTTCAAAGAAAAAAAAAAACTAAATGAAAGCCTCCCGTCCCCAAGGCTAAATGTTCCGACTCCTTTATGGATTGGCCTTATTATTTGTGTGTTTAGTTATTTTTGTTGATTTGCCAAAAGAAAAAAGTTATTGTTGTTGTTAAAGTTGTATGTTTAGTTGTTCAATCTTGGTTCTGAACCGGTTTAACTTTTTCAATGAAATCAATAATTTGCACAAAGAAAACAATTAGTTATTAGATGTGTGGATTTTACTAATGAAACAAAACTTACTAAACTACAAATTTCGAGGTTAAAATTAGAAGCCAAGAAAACTGAAGATAATAATAGAGATTTGTTGGAACCGGCTAGAATTATAAAATCAATAAAAAAACTTAAAATTTCTTGTCATAATTTTTTAGAATATTAGTTACTCTATAAAAATGTAAAAATAGTAGTTTTAAATATACTTATATAATTGTTTAAAATAACGTGATAGGTGAAGTTTCAATCATTTAAGACGATGATTTTCAAAAAGAAGAGTGTAATAAAGCATGGCACAAAGAAAGGAACTGGTTTTTCGATGAGTTTCATTGCCGGTGGTAATCGAATAAGTTTGACGTTGGCGGTGCTTTTCAAACGGAGGCAGCTGTGTCATGTACCTTATCTTCTCTAAAGGGTATGTGTACAAGTGTTTGTTTCAAAGTTCTTATCTATGACTAGGCAATTTTTGTTGGGCTTTGTAATTTAGACATGAGCTCTTAGCCATGTACTGTTGCCCAGTGAAAACCGTTTGCCGAAGGCATATGTTTATTAATGGGCTGGCTATAGTCCACATCCACTTAAGTAGACTAAAGTTTTTGTTTCACACAAATAAAACAGAATTCAAACTGTTTAAGAGGCAAACAAAGTGCAAACTTTGTGACTTGTTGCAAGTTAAGGAATCTCTCACCTTTTGTGTGTGTGGCCACTATTGTAGTAAAAGCAGTGTGTTTGGTAGGGAAAAGCAGAAAGGGCGAAAATTCTTATCCATGGCGCCAACTGCTAGTCTCCAAGCAATTCATCCAACGAAATCAATTATCTCCTCAACAAAAAAATTTGATCCCATTTTAGTTTTTTTTTTTGGTTTGTCAACATATATAAATAAATAAAACGATTCAGAAATCTTAGCTGAGTGTATCAAATTTATATAGTTAATATTATATGGAGAAAATGAACTACTCCATGCTAAGTTATCATTGATACCATTTTGGTCATACTTGAAATTTGGTACGCGACGGAAATGGTTTGGGATGGGGTGAGGATGAGAATTTTCGCGACTAAAACCCATGTACTATAAGAATTTTTAATATTTGATAAAATAATACAAAAAACTATATATATTTTTATAAACGAAAAATAGCAAACATAATATTATCTTCGAAAATGTGAAACAAAACATACAAACATAAAAACTCAGCTTATGAAAGGCTCGCAAGTCGCAAGTATATACTGACATACGTACATAAATAGAGATAGAAAAAGTTAGTCATTTTTTTGTAAGAAAACAAATAATTTTTAATGAAATTAAGATATCTTAAATATGTGTAATCACTTATATTATTTTATTATATATATATATATATGTGTGTGTGTTTTTTTCTTCAAATGAGATTTCAAAAAAATCTCGTTTTTGTACCATCTTCTCTCGTTTTTAGTCGTGAATCAAAGTTTTATCGTATATAAAATGCATTTTCATATGAGACGAAAATTTGGGATAAAAACTGGACGTCTTCAAAATTATAGTTTAGAATTAATTAAGCTGAGTAAACACCTTTTTTGTTTGTTAATTCAAACTTGCTAAATAAACTCAATAGCCACATGCATATATATATATATATTTTTTTTTTGTTCAACGCCACATGCATATATAAGTACATGAAATTATACCATAAATCAAAATCTAGACATGTATCACCGAACCACTGCTTGCGATGCTTGATGCGACGTCGTTTTCACCCTTGGCTACGGCTCTCACACTCTCTATCTGCTCATTTGTTCTTCCATCTTCCGACAATATCTGCAACAGCTCTTCCGTGTTTATGACCAGCTTCACTTTCCATATTGCACCTTTGCTGCTCGTACGCCTCCTCCTCGTCTTCTTTTCCTTATGTCGGGTCCTTGTGTAGATGTTTCTTGAAAAGACGTCCGTGTATAATCTCTTCCGCACCCTGTGGTTGTAGTCCATTGACATCCTATACGGAGTTATCGATGGCAAGGACTCGCTGTTGGATCTCATGTGGCAGTTTCCGACTAAAGTCTTCAACTCGTCGGAGACAATATTGGGCAAGAGATAATATGACCGACCCGGGACGAGGTGGTGGTGGTGAGGCAGGGGTTTGTAGAGGAGATCAAGGGCCGAAAAAATAGCTTGGCTTGGGAATTTATGGGACACGGAACCCGCGGTCAGGGGTGAGTAGTACTTGAGAACTCCACCATTGGATTTTATGATTTTGATCGATAAGTCTTCCTCGTCCCTTAGCCCTCCGAATAAACAGTTCCCCATGCTCGACCTATGTGTGCTCTTCTTCTGCCTACTCCATGCTCTCTAGTCACTATCGTCTAATTATAAAGGGTGCTGAAGGTGAGAGAGTGAGAGCTTTCCCCAATAACGCTTCTTATTTATCTTTAAAAAAGGAGAAACAAAGTGAACACAAAAGCCGCGTACGGTACATCAAATGAAAATGCGGTGGAATCTTCTTTGCTTATGATACTTTTTTATACTGATATAGCTTATTTTTGTCTAGTTTATGTTAACAGTGTTAATTTCTTTTGTTCTTTGCTGGTGAATATATACTGAATGAACTCTTCCATATCGCCATCCATTTTTAAAACATCCCAACTTCCGTTTCCTCATTCCTTAAAAGCTTAATGCATGCATGAAAGAAGCATAATTCCATCGTCAATTGAACAATTTTATTGGCTTCTGATATCCCAAAAAGAAAAAGTGTTGAGCGGGCAATAAAGAATAGGTGGAATCATATATTATATATGACCAAATTAAAGGAGAAGAGAAAAAAATGAAAAGAATAAGTAAAAAGTTCATTCCACTCCCATTGAATTCCAAAATAACTAAATAATAGAAAGAAAAGTCCAAGGATCTACGAAGAAGCATCGGTCAGTCTCTTTCCAACTTTCTCTTTAAGAAAACACATCGGTAATCTGACCATATTTTGAAGTACCTTACATTTTATACGAATGCAAAAGTTTGATTTTGGCGCCAAAAGCTTATTCTACAAAGATCCACTTACCTATTGATCCAACTTCTAACATACAGGATTTTCCAACTTGCCTTACAACTTGATGATTTCTTGCATCTTCTAGTGTTTTACTTATCTTTTCCAGTTTTGAATTATGTTCTTTAATAACTTAACTGATTTATATTAATGAATGGGCCTCCAACAAAATATTACAACCAGCCCAACTGAGAGAAAAAAACCCACAAACATTTACTGTACATTTAAATTTAAATTTGAAGGCTGCATCCATGCAAGTTTATTTGTGGGTTTAAAATTTAGGGTTTAGGCTTTAGGGTTTAGGAATCGAATAAAATATTTCAATCGACTATTGGTTCTCTTTGAGTTGATCCACATATTGTAGCAACCATACAACCAGCACCTAAAATTACGAGTAAGAATTTGATGCTGTGACAACCAATCTGCTACTTTAGGCATTGTGGCCATTTGAGTCTAATGACCATATCAGACCACTCTTGGAGATCCGTCATATGTCCTACTGCATCACGGTTGGTCACAATGAAAATACATCCCGGATTCTTGCGTACACAAAGGGTACCATACCTACCATTTCCGTTATTGTATTAGCCTAAACTCTCGGAAACTTGATTAAGGCAACCTACTTGCATGCAACAGTTATCCATCTTACTAAACCTTATAGTAGTTTATGTTAGGGTCTAGTCAGACCACAACTGCTCCTACCTAGCAGAGGAAGTCATAAAGAAACATACATCATTAGAAACTCGAGAGAAAGAGAATAAAGCTAAATTCTATTTTTGGAGAACGAATCAAAGTCTTATGGCACATTACACTTTTATCATGTTCAAAGAGAGAGTTTGATTTCCATTGTGCCCTCTTTTCACCGTCTTCCTGCATGGAAACAAATACTGCTTTAGATAAACAAAGGAATTTAAAGTATTCAATTTTTGTTGGTCTAAACTCTCAGGTCCAATAAGTATCTAAGAGCAAGCCCAATCGAGACATTATTGGTGGGTGTCTTATTAATTAATTATTAATATTTTGTGTGCTTTTTGTATATAAGACATTTTGTAATATTTTGTTGTTTTTAAAGCATACAATAGAGACACTTTTTGATGAGTGTCTTGAAAAGAAAAAAAAAGTATATATATATATATATATATTTTAATAAATTTAAGTAAAAACTTTTGTTAACAACTTTTAAAACATATTACATTTTCAAAAATATAATACACTAGAAATTTTTATAAATTAATATTTAATAAATTAATAAATTCGATAAATTAATATTTTTGTTTGGTCCCGAGTTAGACCGATCCAAAATTTAATATAAATCAATAAATTAATAAGATAATATTTTTTGAAACTTTATGTAAAATATAGTCCTAATTATATCATAAATTAATAAATATCATATAAAATAATTTTACATAATTATATAGTAATGATAATCTATTAAATATAAGTATATTGTTGTTTTTTTTAACTAAAGTTAAAATATTTTTATCATTTATCTCTAATTTTATAATAAAAATTTTGAAAATATTATAAATTTTAAAAGAAAATATTATTTTAATTAATTATTAATAAATAATTTATTTTATCCAAAACTGATAAATTAATAACTCTAGAGATTAATAAAATATCGAAGTCCCAACATTATTAATTTATAAAGTTTCTACTGTATATGAAAGCATATAAATTATAAATATGCAATTTAGAAATTGAAATTTTTCATCGTCCACTCACATCATTCCACGTGTGCGTTCTTAATTTAGACACTAATGTCTTATTTTAGACACTGGTCTAAAATATAAGACATCATGATCCATTTTTTTATTCAGTTTTATTGTTAAAAACATTTGTTTAGACCCTCTATTGGGGTTGGTCTAACATCTATTACAAACATATATGTATATATATATATATATATACATGAGTCCTCAAAGTGACCAAAACATGACATGATCGAAACGTATTTAAAACAGTCGGAAAAAGACTACTTACCGGACCACCAAGACCTGTAAAACCAGCAATCTGAAGCTCCTCAAGAATGTCTTCCCCACTAATCACATAAACCTACAAAAGAAAACACGAAAAAAAAATGAGAAAAGATGATGATAGAGACCTAAGCAAAGTATTAATCGAAGGAGAACCTTCTCGTCCTTATGGAAATTGTTGACTTTGAGGTACATAGAGGCCGCGACGAAGAGAAGATCTCATCCTTCCAAAGGAATCACATTTTGTAAATGGTAAGCACAGGAAATGCGAAGTCGGGAATCAAAGTAGGAAAACAGATGTATACCTGAGTAACAGAGGGGACACCGAAAGACTGGAACTTTTCAGCGTATTGCCTCCTCGATTTGACAGAATTATTGGTCACAAAGACAACATTTTTACCCTGAATATTGCAAAAGATAAGAGAGAGGGGAAAGGGTGAGATGATAACGAAAAGGGAGTGGGAAAAGGGAAAGTGCCTTAGAGCGGATTAAGTCCAGAGTTTAGGAGACGCCATCCACGAGCTTTTCACCCTTCCATATAACACCTGGATCGAATCATCCTCATCAATCATCATCATCAGACTTGAGGATCACTATCGAATGAAAAATAGGGAGAAAAGAGTGTACCATTGCACTCAAAGAGGAAAGTTTCGACAGAGTCAAAGAGAGATTTGAAGTTACAAGAGGAAAGAAGCTGAGGTGCCATTGGAGGAGTGTCTTCTGTTAAAGAACTGAGTCCATCATTAAATCTTGCATAATATCATAATGTTAAATCAAAAGGTGTATGTTAGAGCCGTGATGTTAGTTCGTGTAGTTACGGTTTGAATAGTCATATTTAAGAGATATTTAAGAGACACAAATATGAAAAGACACAACTCTTGATATGTGTCTGTTTGATATCTATATAAATGATTGTTGATGTAATGAAAATTACAAGATTTCAGATTAATAAAGTATATATTTTTGTACTTGAATTATTCAAAGAGAAGAGATAATTCTTTTACCTCTTACTCTATTTCTCCATTCTTTCCTACTTAAACTTTCTGTTAATCAAAATCAAAAACATTGTGATAATCAGAATCTGGAATCTACAATTATTCATCATGGTAGCAGAGCTTATGTTGGTCTTGGAGCCTGTTCAAGTACAATAAGAATAAGAAGAAGTCCGCTGCAAGAAGAAGAGAAAGATGAAGATGACAATCAACCGTAGGAAACCAAAAGAATACGAAGAGGAAGAAGATTTCGAAAAGGAAGAGATGGTGACGAGAGAACACACCATGAACCTTCTGCAAACTCATCCACATGTTATACTTTCAAAAGCGATAAAAGAGATAGGAAATCTTCTCAAAAGGCAACAGAGAACACGGATGTGAAGTTGGAGATGTGGAAGGAGAATTCTGAAACTTGGCTCGAAAAAGTCTTAGTGAAGCACAAGGATGCAGAGAAGGCATCACTCGATGATGTTGAGAATCCTAATAGATCTTCAACTGAAACAAGACGGAGAAGCCGCCTGTTGGAAGAAACAGAGCACGGCGAATCAACAAAACGCAAAAAGTGGTGTGGAGTTTTTTAGAGAAAGACTTCACATGGAGAAGCCACTTGTTGGAAGAAACAGAGTAAGGCTGCTCATCAAAGTTTCAAGGAATTAAAGAAACTACGACTAGAGAAAGCTAAGGTGATGACTAAAAAGAAAAAAAACCAAAAAGACTATGGTTAGAGAAAGCCAAGGTGATGGTTAGAGTCAAACAGACCAAGGTTAAAGTCGAGGTGATGGTTCTAAGGAAAATATGAAATAGGTTGGTGATCAAAGAAAAAAGACACCAAGCAAGGCACAATACGGGAACGGTTACACAGTTAACCGAAGAAAAGAAGATGTGGAGAAAATTCATCCACATGCACAAAAGAAACGGTTATGGAAATAGCCGAGGAAGACGTGAAATAGATTCACGGACATGACATCAAGAAGACGTGATGGTGATCAGAAGATGACACCAAGAGAGAAAATATGATGCTTACCCATAAGAAAAAAATAGAGCAGAGAAACGGATACGGATAGCCGAGGAAAACATGAAAGAGATTCAAGAACAAGACGTCAAGAAGACGTGATGGTGTTCAAAGGATGACACCAAGTAAAGAGATAGGAGGCTAACCTATAAGAAAAATGAAGCAAAGAAAACCGGTGACACAGATAACCGAAGAAAACATGAAGAAAATTCACGCATGAGAAGCCAAGGAGACATGATGAGGATCAAATAAAATCACCAAAGGAATTGTAGAGCCTGCAAAGGAGAAAGGAAAAACAAAGGTTCCACTCCAGAGCAGTTGCAAAAATAAAATAAAAGAAGAGTTGAGTTCAATTAAGAAGAATCGAAACATGGGAAGATGGAGAAAAACGTCACACAAGAGAAAACTGAAAAGAAATTTCGATGAGTGTTATCTGATCAAGAGGGAGACAGAAGGCAAAATTACCAGTAAACTATGCCATCGTTGTAAAAGAAATTTGACCAGAAAAAATGTAAATCACCAATGGCGAAAAGAAGAAGCCATGGGATTGAAATCCCTAGATTGAATATGGGGATTTAATCAAAGGACTCAAGAGGGAGTGTTAGAGAACTGAGTACATCATCAAATCTTGCATAATATCATAATGTTAAATCAAAAGGTGTATGTTAGAGCTGTGATGTTAGCTCGTGTAGTTACAGTTTGAATAATCATATTTGAGAGACACAAGTATGAAAAGACACAACTCTTGATATGTGTCTGTTTGATATCTATATTTAATTTTTGATGTAATGTAAATTACAAGGTTTCAGATTAATAAATTATATATTTTGTTCTTGTGTTCTTCAAAGAGAAGAGATAATTCTTTTATCTTTTACTCTGTTTCTCCATTCTTTTTCTAAAGTTTCTGTTAATCAAAATCAAAAACATTGTGATAATCAGAATCTGGAAACTACAGCTATTCATCATCTTTTTTCTTTTTCTTCTTCTTCTTCTTCGCTCCACAGAATTCGGTAATATGATGATGATTTGATGATTGTAGCAGAATTTTTAAGGGTTTTAGACTATATACAATGGTTTTTCTTTAAAACATCATATTTTCAAATTTTTAACACTCCACATATGTGTAGAAAAAGAACAAAAGATTATATAGTTGATTTTTTTTTTAAAAAACAAACGCTCTCAGACCCGGCTTCCTAGGAAGTTTTCAACCACCTGATTTTTCTTTCCCCTGTTTTGAAAATACCCCACTTTTCGACCCAAAATAGAAAGTTTTTTTGAATTTTACCACTTCTGGTTTTGTAATACCGGGTTCTACTCCCGACTTATAGTCGGAGGGTCCTTCCAACAAACTGAAAAGCTTCTCCAAACTGGTCAAATATCATCCAACAAGCAATGGTATGAACTCCTTCCCTCTAAACGTTACCTCTATGAACAGCTTAACCTGTGCAATGGTCTTGTTTTAGCATTCTCTCAGCGGTCTAGCACTGCTTGAAACCCTCTCACCCTAGTGGTGTTGAAAACTTGTAACAATTTACGCCGGAGTTTGCCTGCAAAGTACAAGAGCTGTGAACCCAGTTTTCAGGAAACAAAAAGATATGACAAGAAAATTAACTTACGCTGAGAAAGGCAAAGGACTCGCAGAGCCCCCTCGCGTAGGCAGAGTGAAAGTTCTGGATTTTGACAACTCGGAGCTCATGAGACAACATTCACTGACCCTTATTGGGAAAGTAACAAATCCAAAAATTCAAAAGCTGTGGTCTCTCATACCGTTCTTCACGGAGCACTGGAAAATAGCCTCGCGTCCCATTGTAGCAGATCTAGGGAATGACCTTTTTCAATTCCAGTTTAGATCTCAAGAAGATTTGCAAATGGTACTAGACAACAGACCATACCACTACGCAAAATGGATGTTGATAATCCAAAGATGGGAGCCGACAGTGTCACCATCCTTTCCGTCTCAAATACCTTTTTGGATTAAAGTTCAAGGAGTGCCGATCCATTTCTGGAATGAAGCAACCCTCCAGAGTATTGGCAAAGACTTGGGTTTTTTTAATGCTGTGAAATTAACTCTACGTCAGCCAGAATGAGAGTACACATTAACGATCTCCTCCCGCTCTTGAAAGACTACACCTTGGAATTCTCCAATGGAGATGTAGTAAAAGCCAACCTGGTGTATGAAAAGCTAGAGAAACACTGTAGTGTCTGCCTCAAATTGGACCATGAAGCTACTGAATGCCCATTATTATTGGAATCAAATTTCACTAAAATAATGTTTAAAACTAAAACAAAAGTTTATTGAAGTATAATAGAAAACATATAATAGTAAAAGTTTTTTTTTATGTTTTCAAATCAAATGAAACAAGTCTCTAATTATAGAGTATTAAAAATGATGAATGTTGGTATATAAAAAAAGCATATATATATAATAATTGATTTTAAATAATTCATGTGAAAAAATATCAAAAAATCTTAATAGTTAATGAGAATATAACACATGTATAATTTTTTTTTTGTCAAAGACCTAGGATTAAAAAAATTAAATTTATTTTGAAAATATCTATTCTTCATCTGAAAATAAGAAAATTAAAAAAAAAAGGAATATCCATTGCATATATCTCTAAATTGTTTTAAATAAAAAATAATCATATATATTTTATGGTTTTTTTACAGAAAAATGCATCGTGAGCAGAGGCAGAGCCACATTGACGGTATAGGAGGCCACATTGACGGTATAGGAGGCAGTTGCCCCAATGAATTTTTTTTGCTTAATGTTATTTTAATTTGAACAAATTTTATGCATTTGTTATTGTTTATTTTTTCTGTAGCATGCCCCTTATAAGAAATAATTCTAGATCCGTCCTGATCGTGAGAGAATATTATTTTTAATAAAAGATGTTTTTTATATTTAACATACCAACTTTCATTTTAAGAGGTCTAGCCAATCTGACTTTTTGAAATAGTATTTAAAATTTTAAAATATCTATTGTCAAAGAAGAAAAATATGATTTCCAGAGAAAGATTCAAATCCCAAACGACCTGAATATTCAGGTTACGGTTCCGGATTTGCGGATGGATAGAGAAGTTTGGGTATTTTTAAAACTGACCTATTCGGGAATTTTTAAAAATTGGTTCGGATTCAGTTTGGGTAATTTTTGGGTCGGTTCGGTTCAGAATTTCAGTTCCGGTTTTTTTTTTCCAGGGCTATAATCTATAGTGACCCTAATTTAACATCCCTACAAATACAGTCGGGTCGTTTTCGTATGGGATTTTTCAGAGGATTCTCGATGAAGCAGCATAACCCTAATTCTTACAAGTTACCCAGACGAGATTCATCAAATTCCTGGTCCGAGCTTCCTCGAGATCTCTTGAATTTAGTGTTGGAACGCCTTGGCCTTGCTGATTCTCGACGAGCTGAATCCGTGTGTTCGTCGTGGTACTCCGCTGCGAGACGATGCTTGGCGAAAAAGCAGATTCCTTGGCTGATTCTCTTGCCCGACGAAGATGACGAGGTGAACAACCATTGGTGCAAGCTGTTCAATCCCGAGGAGAAAGACAAGCTTTACAAAATACGAGATGAGGATGTCGAATTTGCAAAGAGTTACTGTTTAGAATCAGAAAATCACCACTAGGGTTTTGATTTACGGTTTGGGTTTAGGAGAATATCAAATTGGAGCTTGAAGATTAGGTCATCGAAAAGATGAACTACTTGAAGTTTTTATCAAGTTATAACTGGACTTTTAAGAAAGGCTGCATACATACCCTTGCAAAAGGATCAAGCCATTCGTAGTTTGGTTGTGAAGTGTTTAGATAGAAGTAATCTAGAAAATTCTCTCTAGATCTCGGATTTTTTTGGTGGTTCCTTTAGATCGGGTTTTCATCCCGTTTTTTGATGATTTTCAACTTATGAGAAGCTTCCTATTTATAAGAAGGCGAGGTCGGTTTCTTTGACCTCGTTTCCCTTTGTTATTTAGGAATATTTCTCCTTTTCCGCTTAGGAAAACTTCTTCTTTTCCTTATTCTTTGGAGATTTGCCATTATCTTCATAGAATCTTCCTTAATCCACAAGTCAGTGTGATTTTCCTTATCTTGATGGGCTTAGGTTATTGTTAGAAAAAGCCTTTTAGGAAATGTGCTCATTTCCCCCTCTAACAGTAAACAACATATAGTTTGGAGGGCTAACGGCAGCCAACCCAAAAATGGTAGAATGACACTTTGTGAAAGTAAGATTTTTAGGTGAGGAGATAAATGAGCTACTTAAAGCAATAATCAGATCCCAAAATATCAGCCGAGATGAAAAGAATGGTATACGTTATGTGAAACTTCTCTTGCTCTCCTCTCACATCTCCGCTATGCTTTTAAGAGATTCTTGATTGGTTTATTCATCCTTCATTAAACGGCAAGATCATTCATGCCAGTGTCTACCAATTATGGAAACAAAGGAACTCAAGACTTCAACCTCAACACCTTCAAATCTAATCCTCAAGTACATTCAACTCACAGAGAGAATCATGCTACTAGAAATGATAAAAATGATAACCCTTGTAGACTCATGGATTCTAGGAAGGTCTTAGTGGTTCAATATGTGTAACACAAATCAAGATAACAAACACACTTTATTAAAAGTCTCTTGAACAACCTTTACAGATTTGTTCAATCAGAATTACACCCTATTACACAATCCTTAAGACTTGTAATATGATACTGACCGATTCCTAACTACCCACACAGCAACAGTTGTGTTTGCTCAACGAGCTCCTAAACTCTTCTTCCAAGACAAGATTGTTCTAATCCCCCGTTTTCGGCTGACCTAACCTAGTTACTAGAGTAACATATATATACTCTCCTCGACAAGTCACACTTGCCATGTCTTCAGGGCATCGTATATTAGCCTAGAGCCAAATAAGGCAACTTCAATATCTTCCTTGATGTACACGTATTCCTCTGTAGCAGTTATCCTCTGTTGCGAGACGATGCTTGGCGAAAAAGCAGATTCCTTGGCTGATTCTCTTGCCCGACGAAGATGACGAGGTGAACAACCATTGGTGCAAGCTGTTCAATCCCGAGGAGAAAGACAAGCTTTAAAAAATACGAGATGAGGATGTCGAATTTGCAAAGAGTTACTGTTTAGCATCATATGGTAATTGGCTCTTTATGGTAGACTGTTGGTATAATCTCTACCTTTTGAATCTATTTACCCATGAGAGGATCGATTTACCTCCGGTGGAGTCACAAATTGGAACGACAAAGCTGGAGCGAACCTTAAAAGGTTGGTTTTGTATTTCAAACGATAATCGCAAAAGGAATTACAAAGATATTAATGTGGAATCTCCTGTCTTTTGGATTGACGAACACACCAAAGAATATATAGTTTTATGGGGATTTGGCCAATGGTGTGTGGCTTATTCCAAGAAAAGAGATAAGTTCTGGAATCAGATTCAAATTCCCGTAGTTTATTGTTGTTCTCACATGGTTTACAAAGATCACAAGCTTTACTACCTCCTAAACGACTACCGTGGTAGTAGTGGTTTTATCAAAATATTCGACTTCTCCGGAGAGGTTCCGCAAGAAACCTTTCAGTGTGGTGTTCCTGGCAACAGCTCTTCACTTGATCCAATAAGAAATTCATGGAGGATTGCCGGCGCACAACTTGTAGTCACAGTAACAGGAGATGTCTTCTATGTTGAAAGCTGGGCAAGACCTTTCACTTTACTCTGGTCCTTTCGCGTCTACAAGGTTTATTCATCAGGTTTCTTTAACAAGTTTGAACAAGTTGATTCTTTGGGCAACGAGGCAATACTTTTTGATCTAGGCATCACTGTGCTCGCTAATGATGACATTGTGGGTTTTAAGAGAAATTCCATCTACTTCAAGACTACTTGTCATGAACAAAACACTACTCAAATTTGTCTCTTCAATTTCGAGACACAGGAGATGGAGCCACTGCACAAGTTCGACTGTTCGTCCCAACAACAACTCGCCAGAGCTCTATGGTTCCTACCAAGTTTCAAGCAGACATAATTCATCTCAACTATACTGCTATGGTGTCATGTGGTTTGGTTAATGACTTACCAATGTATTAATAGTTTAATTTAATTCTTTTTTAGTTATTATCTTTTAAATTATTAAAACTATAATATATTTATAGAAATTTTCATTTATATAAAAGAATTTAATAAATAATGTGTAATTTTTTTATATTTTTATTTATAAATTTTGAAAATTATTAGGTAAAATAATAATAATGACACATATCGAATTATCCAATTTTGACGTACATATACATTTTAATTTAGAGAAATATTTTTTTGCTAAGATTTTAGTATTTTTTTATGTTTACCAAAGAATTTATATAGTTCATTTTTTTAAAAGGTTTATGTGTTCAAATATGTAGTTTTTTTATTGAAAATCTTATTGATGTTGTGTACCACTGTTTATATAATCCATAATTTATGTTGATTCACATTTAATTTTGTTAGAAAACTGCAATGATCATGCAAAACCATTTTTTTCATTCTCCACCATGTCTTCTAAGAGTTTTAGCTTATATTTTTATTCAATTTTCATTAATATCTATTCTTTTACAGTATAATATTTTATAATTTTAGTTTTCTAACTTGTAGGATCGGTGGTGTAAAGTCTTTGCATTATTTTTTGTTGTTTTTATCTTTTGTGTGCAATATACATGCTTTGATTTGAGTATTTTATCTACATATACCAATTTGAGTTTGATTTATAACTATGTACTTTATAATGTAAATCAGAAGGAAGGAAAGCAGATTTGTTGTCGAAAGTGGGTATTAAGATCTAAAATCAAAGGGAAGCAAAAGGATTTCTTTCGGTTGAGATTTTCTGGTCAACAATGAAATGAAAAGAAAAATTAATTGATGGAGGATTTTTTAAAAAATGAAAAATTGGTGGGTGTTAATGGAAGTGTTTCCATGGGTTTGAAACTAAAAAATATTTAAGTCTAATTTCTTTAAGTAAGAAGAATTATTTTTTTTTATAGATTATTGTCATTTTTCTATTTTAAGGAACTCGTTTTAATTGTTAAATCAAGTTATTATGGATTTTTTTAAATTGATAACTAGGTGTTTCCCCGTACAAGGTGCGAGGTTCAATTAAAGTTTTTAAAAAGTAATAATATTAATTTATTTATAGATAAAAAATTAAATGTTATAATTATTCGAAATCAAAATTAATATATTTTAAAAAAATAAAAATTTAATTATTATATTATTTTTTGTGACCAAGCAAAATATATTATTTATATCTTATTTTTTAATATCTTTTATATTATCCGATAAAAATTTATATGTATGTTTTGTTGTTTTGTTGCATTTATTAAACATGATAAATAATTTTCTTCTTTTGATGTAAATTGGCATATCAAGATTAATGAAATTCAGAAGTTTGCATTAAAAAAAAACAGCAATCCAAAATAACCAAAACCAAAGGATATTTATTTCATATCAACTTAACATTAATTAATATATATAGAGTTTTAAAAGGGTTTAAAGAATTTAAGATTTTACTTGTGGCTGCATAAATCAATTAGGTTAGTCAAAAATATTAGTACAGATAATCAAATTAAAATTAGTTTAAAGAAATAATTAGGATTTTCTTTTTGTTATCAAAAGAAATAATTAGGATTTTTTTTTTATCAAAAGTTTACAGAAATATTAGTACAAACAATCAAATTAAAATAGTTTAAAGAAATAATTCAAAAGTTTGCATAAAAAAAATACTGCAATCCAAAAACAAAAACCAAAAGATCTTTGTTTCATATCAACTTAACATTAATTAATAAAATAAATTATTTGGGTGGGAATAGACAGAGATCTTTAGTTTGGAGGGAATTAATTAGACAACGTATAGTTTGGGGGGGATAACAGCAGCGAACCCAAAAATGGTAGAATGACACTTTGTGAAAGTAAGATTTTTAGGCAAAGAGATAAATGTGCTACTTAAAGCATTAATTGGATCCCAAAATATCAGCTGAGATGAAAAGAATGGTATACGCAAGGCCTTTCACTTTACTCTGGTCCTTCTGCGTCTACAAGGTTTATTCATCAGGTTTCTTTAACAAGTTTGAACAAGTTGATTCTTTGGGCAACGAGGCAATGCTTTTTGATCTAGGCATCACTGTGCTCGCTAATGATGACATTGTGGGTTTTAAGAGAAATTCCATCTACTTCAAGACTACTTGTCATGAAAAAAACACTACTCAAATTTGTCTCTTCAATTTCGAGACATAGGAGATGGAGCCACTGCACAAGTTTGATTGTTCGTCCCAACAACAACTCGCTAGAGCTCTGTGGTTCCTACCAAGTTTCAAGCAGACATAATTCATCTCAACTACACTGCTATGGTGTAATGTGGTTTGGTTAATGACTTACCAATGTATTAATAGTTTAATTTAGTTCTTTTTTAGCTACTATCTTTTAAATTATTAAAACTATAATATATTTATAAAAAAATCCATTTATATAAAAGAATTTAATAAATAATGTGTAATTTTCTCATATTTTATTTATAAAATTTTGAAAATTATTAGGTAAAATAATAATAATGACACATATTGAATTGTCCAATTTTGACGTACATATACATTTTAATTTAGAGAAAGATTTGTTTTCTAAGATTTTGGTATTTTTTATGTTTACCAAAGAATTTATATATTTCTTTTTTCTTAAAGGTTTATGTGTTCAAATATGTAGTTTTTTATTGAAAGTCTTATTGATGTTGTGTACCACTGTTTATATAATCTATGATTTATGTTGATTCACATTTAATTTTGTTAGGAAGCTGCAATAATCATGTAAAACTATTTTTTCATGCTCTACTATGTCTTCTAAGAGTTTTAGCTTATATTTTTATTCAATTTTCATTAATATCTATTCTTTTACAGTATAATATTTTATAATTTTAGTTTTCTAACTTGAAGGAATGATGGTGTGAAGTCTTTGCATTACTTTTTACTGTTTTTATCTTTTGTGTGCAATATGCATGCTTTGATTTGAATATTCTATCTACATATATCAATTTGAGTTTAATTCATAACTGTGTACTTTATAATGTAAATCAGAAGGAAGGAAACCAGATTTGTTGTCGAAAGTGGGTATTAAGATCTAAAATCAAAGGGAAGCAAAATGATTTTCTTCGGTTGAGATTTTCTGGTCAACAATGAAATGAAAAAAAAAATTAATTGATGGAGGATTGTTAAAAAAATAGAAAATTGGTTGGTGTTAATTGAAGTATTTCCATCGGCTTGAAACTAAAAAATATTTAAGCCTAATTTCTTTAATTTTTGGTATAGATTATTGTCATTTTTTATATTTTAAAGAATTTGATTTAATTGTTAAATCAAGTTGTTGTGGATTTTTTTAAATTAATAACTAGGTGTTTCCCTCCACAAGGTGTAAGGTTCGATTCAAGTTTTTAAAAAATAATAATATTAGTTTACTTATAAATAAAAAAATTAAATGTTATAATTATGCAAAACAGAAATTAATATATTTGAAAAAATAAAATTTTTATTAGTATATTATTTTTTGTGACAAAGCAAATATATTATTTATATCCTATTTTTTAATATCTTTTATATTATCCGATAAAAATTTATATGTATGCTTTGTTGTTTTGTTGCATTTATTAAACATGATAAATAATTTTCTTCTTTTGATGTAAATTGGCAGATTAAGATTAATGAAATTCAAAAGTTTGCATAAAAAAAACCGCAATCCAAAATGACCAAAACCAAAGGACACTTATTTCATATCAACTTAACATTAGTTAATATATATATAGAGTTTTAAAATGGTTTAAAGGATTTATGATTTTACTTATGGCTGCATAAATCAATTAGGTTAGTCAAAAATATTAGTACAAATAATCAAATTAAAATTAGTTTAAGAAAATAATTAGGATTTCTTTTTGTTGTCAAAAGAAATAATTAGGATTTTTTTTTTGTTATCAAAAGTTTACAGAAATATTAGTACAAACAATCAAATTAAAATTAGTTTAAAGAAATAATTCAAAATTTTGCATAAAAAAAAAACACAGCAATCCAAAATGACAAAACCAAAGAATCTTTGTTTTATATCAACTTAACATTAATTAATAAAATAAATTGTTTGGGTGGGAATAGGCAGAGATCTTTAGTTTGGAAGGGATAAGTAGATATTGAATCAGAAAATCACCACTAGGGTTTTGATTTACGGTTTGGGTTTAGGAGAATATCAAATTGGAGCTTGAAGATTAGGTCATCGAAAAGATGAACTACTTGAAGTTTTTATCAAGTTATAACTGGACTTTTAAGAAAGGCTGCATACATACCCTTGCAAAAGGATCAAGCCATTCGTAGTTTGGTTGTGAAGCGTTTAGATAGAAGTAATCTAGAAAATTCTCTCTAGATCTCGGATTTTTTTGGTGGTTCCTTTAGATCGGGTTTTCATCCCGTTTTTTGATGATTTTCAACTTATGAGAAGCTTCCTATTTATAAGAAGGCGAGGTCGGTTTCTTTGATCTCGTTTCCCTTTGTTATTTAGGAATATTTCTCCTTTTCCGCTTAGGAAAACTTCTTCTTTTCCTTATTCTTTGGAGATTTGCCATTATCTTCATAGAATCTTCCTTAATCCACAAGTCAGTGTGATTTTCCTTAACTTGATGGGCTTAGGTTATTGTTAGAAAAAGCCTTTTAGGAAATGTGCTCATTTCCCCTCTAACAGTAGACAACATATAGTTTGGAGGGCTAACGGCAGCCAACCCAAAAATGGTAGAATGACACTTTGTGAAAGTAAGATTTTTAGGTGAGGAGATAAATGAGCTACTTAAAGCATTAATCGGATCCCAAAATATCAGCCGAGATGAAAAGAATGGTATACGTTATGTGAAACTTCTCTTGCTCTCCTCTCACATCTCCGCTATGCTTTTAAGAGATTCTTGATTGGTTTATTCATCCTTCATTAAACGGCAAGATCATTCATGCCAGTGTCTACCAATTATGGAAACAAAGGAACTCAAGACTTCAACCTCAACACCTTCAAATCTAATCCTCAAGTACATTCAACTCACAGAGAGAATCATGCTACTAGAAATGATAAAAATGATAACCCTTGTAGACTCATGGATTCTAGGAAGGTCTTAGTGGTTCAATATGTGTAACACAAATCAAGATAACAAACACACTTTATTAAAAGTCTCTTGAACAACCTTTACAGATTTGTTCAATCAGAATTACACCCTATTACACAATCCTTAAGACTTGTAATATGATACTGACCGATTCCTAACTACCCACACAGCAACAGTTGTGTTTGCTCAACGAGCTCCTAAACTCTTCTTCCAAGACAAGATTGTTCTAATCCCCCGTTTTCGGCTGACCTAACCTAGTTACTAGAGTAACATATATATACTCTCCTCGACAAGTCACACTTGCCATGTCTTCGGTGCATCGTATATTAGCCTAGAGCCAAATAAGGCAACTTCAATATCTTCTTTGATGTACACGTATTCCTCTGTAGCAGTTATCCTCTGCTGCAAGACGATGCTTGGCGAAAAAGCAGATTCCTTGGCTGATTCTCTTGCCCGACGAAGATGACGAGGTGAACAACCATTGGTGCAAGCTGTTCAATCCCGAGGAGAAAGACAAGCTTTAAAAAATACGAGATGAGGATGTCGAATTTGCAAAGAGTTACTGTTTAGCATCATATGGTAATTGGCTCTTTATGGTAGACTGTTGGTATAATCTCTACCTTTTGAATCTATTTACCCATGAGAGGATCGATTTACCTCCGGTGGAGTCACAAATTGGAACGACAAAGCTGGAGCGAACCTTAAAAGGTTGGTTTTGTATTTCAAACGATAATCGCAAAAGGAATTACAAAGATATTAATGTGGAATCTCCTGTCTTTTGGATTGACGAACACACCAAAGAATATATAGTTTTATGGGGATTTGGCCAATGGTGTGTGGCTTATTCCAAGAAAGGAGATAAGTTCTGGAATCAGATTCAAATTCCCGTAGTTTATTGTTGTTCTCACATGGTTTACAAAGATCACAAGCTTTACTACCTCCTAAACGACTACCGTGGTAGTAGTGGTTTTATCAAAATATTCGACTTCTCTGGAGAGGTTCCGCAAGAAACCTTTCAGTGTGGTGTTCCTGGCAACAGCTCTTCACTTGATCCAATAAGAAATTCATGGAGGATTGCCGGCGCACAACTTGTAGTCACAGTAACAGGAGATGTCCTCTATGTTGAAAGCTGGGCAAGACCTTTCACTTTACTCTGGTCCTTTCGCGTCTACAAGGTTTATTCATCAGGTTTCTTTAACAAGTTTGAACAAGTTGATTCTTTGGGCAACGAGGCAATACTTTTTGATCTAGGCATCACTGTGCTCGCTAATGATGACATTGTGGGTTTTAAGAGAAATTCCATCTACTTCAAGACTACTTGTCATGAAAAAAACACTACTCAAATTTGTCTCTTCAATTTCGAGACACAGGAGATGGAGCCACTGCACAAGTTCGACTGTTCGTCCCAACAACAACTCGCCAGAGCTCTATGGTTCCTACCAAGTTTCAAGCAGACATAATTCATCTCAACTATACTGCTATGGTGTCATGTGGTTTGGTTAATGACTTACCAATGTATTAATAGTTTAATTTAATTCTTTTTTAGTTATTATCTTTTAAATTATTAAAACTTTAATATATTTATAGAAATTTTCATTTATATAAAAGAATTTAATAAATAATGTGTAATTTTTTTATATTTTTATTTATAAATTTTGAAAATTATTAGGTAAAATAATAATAATGACACATATCGAATTATCCAATTTTGACGTACATATACATTTTAATTTAGAGAAATATTTTTTTGCTAAGATTTTAGTATTTTTTTATGTTTACCAAAGAATTTATATAGTTCATTTTTTTAAAAGGTTTATGTGTTCAATTTTTTTATTGAAAGTCTTATTGATGTTGTGTACCACTGTTTATATAATCCATAATTTATGTTGATTCACATTTAATTTTGTTAGAAAACTGCAATGATCATGCAAAACCATTTTTTTCATTCTCCACCATGTCTTCTAAGAGTTTTAGCTTATATTTTTATTCAATTTTTATTAATATCTATTCTTTTACAGTATAATATTTTATAATTTTAGTTTTCTAACTTGTAGGATCGGTGGTGTAAAGTCTTTGCATTATTTTTTGTTGTTTTTATCTTTTGTGTGCAATATACATGCTTTGATTTGAGTATTTTATCTACATATACTAATTTGAGTTTGATTTATAACTATGTACTTTATAATGTAAATCAGAAGGAAGGAAAGCAGATTTGTTGTCGAAAGTGGGTATTAAGATCTAAAATCAAAGGGAAGCAAAAGGATTTCTTTCGGTTGAGATTTTCTGGTCAACAATGAAATGAAAAGAAAAATTAATTGATGGAGGATTTTTTAAAAAATGAAAAATTGGTGGGTGTTAATGGAAGTGTTTCCATGGGTTTGAAACTAAAAAATATTTAAGTCTAATTTCTTTAAGTAAGAAGAATTATTTTTTTTATAGATTATTGTCATTTTTCTATTTTAAGGAACTCGTTTTAATTGTTAAATCAAGTTATTATGGATTTTTTTAAATTGATAACTAGGTGTTTCCCCGTACAAGGTGCGAGGTTCAATTAAAGTTTTTAAAAAGTAATAATATTAATTTATTTATAGATAAAAAAATAAATGTTATAATTATTCGAAATCAAAATTAATATATTTTAAAAAAATAAAAATTTAATTATTATATTATTTTTTGTGGCCAAGCAAAATATATTATTTATATCTTATTTTTTAATATCTTTTATATTATCCGATAAAAATTTATATGTATGTTTTGTTGTTTTTTGTTGCATTTATTAAACATGATAAATAATTTTCTTCTTTTGATGTAAATTGGCATATCAAGATTAATGAAATTCAGAAGTTTGCATTAAAAAAAAACAGCAATCCAAAATAACCAAAACCAAAGGATATTTATTTCATATCAACTTAACATTAATTAATATATATAGAGTTTTAAAAGGGTTTAAAGAATTTAAGATTTTACTTGTGGCTGCATAAATTAATTAGGTTAGTCAAAAATATTAGTACAGATAATCAAATTAAAATTAGTTTAAAGAAATAATTAGGATTTTCTTTTTGTTATCAAAAGAAATAATTAGGATTTTTTTTTTTATCAAAAGTTTACAGAAATATTAGTACAAACAATCAAATTAAATTAGTTTAAAGAAAATAATTCAAAAGTTTGCATAAAAAAAAAAACACTGCAATCCAAAATAACAAAAACCAAAAGATCTTTGTTTCATATCAACTTAACATTAATTAATAAAATAAATTATTTGGGTGGGAATAGACAGAGATCTTTAGTTTGGAGGGAATTAATTAGACAACGTATAGTTTGGGGGGGATAACAGCAGCGAACCCAAAAATGGTAGAATGACACTTTGTGAAAGTAAGATTTTTAGGCAAAGAGATAAATGTGCTACTTAAAGCATTAATTGGATCCCAAAATATCAGCTGAGATGAAAAGAATGGTATACGCAAGGCCTTTCACTTTACTCTGGTCCTTCTGCGTCTACAAGGTTTATTCATCAGGTTTCTTTAACAAGTTTGAACAAGTTGATTCTTTGGGCAACGAGGCAATGCTTTTTGATCTAGGCATCACTGTGCTCGCTAATGATGACATTGTGGGTTTTAAGAGAAATTCCATCTACTTCAAGACTACTTGTCATGAAAAAAACACTACTCAAATTTGTCTCTTCAATTTCGAGACATAGGAGATGGAGCCACTGCACAAGTTTGATTGTTCGTCCCAACAACAACTCGCTAGAGCTCTGTGGTTCCTACCAAGTTTCAAGCAGACATAATTCATCTCAACTACACTGCTATGGTGTAATGTGGTTTGGTTAATGACTTACCAATGTATTAATAGTTTAATTTAGTTCTTTTTTAGCTACTATCTTTTAAATTATTAAAACTATAATATATTTTTAAAAAAAATCCATTTATATAAAATAATTTAATAAATAATGTGTAATTTTCTCATATTTTATTTATAAAATTTTGAAAATTATTAGGTAAAATAATAATAATGACACATATTGAATTGTCCAATTTTGACGTACATATATATTTTAATTTAGAGAAAGATTTGTTTTCTAAGATTTTGGTATTTTTTATGTTTACCAAAGAATTTATATATTTCTTTTTTCTTAAAGGTTTATGTGTTCAAATATGTAGTTTTTTATTGAAAGTCTTATTGATGTTGTGTACCACTGTTTATATAATCTATGATTTATGTTGATTCACATTTAATTTTGTTAGGAAGCTGCAATAATCATGCAAAACTATTTTTTCATGCTCTACTATGTCTTCTAAGAGTTTTAGCTTATATTTTTATTCAATTTTCATTAATATCTATTCTTTTACAGTATAATATTTTATAATTTTAGTTTTCTAACTTGAAGGAATGATGGTGTGAAGTCTTTGCATTACTTTTTACTGTTTTTATCTTTTGTGTGCAATATGCATGCTTTGATTTGAATATTCTATCTACATATATCAATTTGAGTTTAATTCATAACTGTGTACTTTATAATGTAAATCAGAAGGAAGGAAACCAGATTTGTTGTCGAAAGTGGGTATTAAGATCTAAAATCAAAGGGAAGCAAAATGATTTTCTTCGGTTGAGATTTTCTGGTCAACAATGAAATGAAAAAAAAAATTAATTGATGGAGGATTGTTAAAAAAATAGAAAATTGGTTGGTGTTAATTGAAGTATTTCCATCGGCTTGAAACTAAAAAATATTTAAGCCTAATTTCTTTAATTTTTTGTATAGATTATTGTCATTTTTTATATTTTAAAGAATTTGATTTAATTGTTAAATCAAGTTGTTGTGGATTTTTTTAAATTAATAACTAGGTGTTTCCCTCCACAAGGTGCAAGGTTCGATTAAAGTTTTTAAAAAGTAATAATATTAGTTTACTTATAAATAAAAAAATTAAATGTTATAATTATGCAAAACAGAAATTAATATATTTGAAAAAATAAAATTTTCATTAGTATATTATTTTTTGTGACAAAGCAAAATATATTATTTATATCCTATTTTTTAATATCTTTTATATTATCCGATAAAAATTTATATGTATGCTTTGTTGTTTTGTTGCATTTATTAAACATGATAAATAATTTTCTTCTTTTGATGTAAATTGGCAGATTAAGATTAATGAAATTCAAAAGTTTGCATAAAAAAAACCGCAATCCAAAATGACCAAAACCAAAGGACACTTATTTCATATCAACTTAACATTAGTTAATATATATATAGAGTTTTAAAATGGTTTAAAGGATTTATGATTTTACTTATGGCTGCATAAATCAATTAGGTTAGTCAAAAATATTAGTACAAATAATCAAATTAAAATTAGTTTAAGACAATAATTAGGATTTCTTTTTGTTGTCAAAAGAAATAATTAGGATTTTCTTTTTGTTATCAAAAGTTTACAGAAATATTAGTACAAACAATCAAATTAAAATTAGTTTAAAGAAATAATTCAAAATTTTGCATAAAAAAAAAACACAGCAATCCAAAATGACAAAACCAAAGAATCTTTGTTTTATATCAACTTAACATTAATTAATAAAATAAATTGTTTGGGTGGGAATAGGCAGAGATCTTTAGTTTGGAAGGGATTAAGTAGATATTGAATCAGAAAATCACCACTAGGGTTTTGATTTACGGTTTGGGTTTAGGAGAATATCAAATTGGAGCTTGAAGATTAGGTCATCGAAAAGATGAACTACTTGAAGTTTTTATCAAGTTATAACTGGACTTTTAAGAAAGGCTGCATACATACCCTTGCAAAAGGATCAAGCCATTCGTAGTTTGGTTGTGAAGTGTTTAGATAGAAGTAATCTAGAAAATTCTCTCTAGATCTCGGATTTTTTTGGTGGTTCCTTTAGATCGGGTTTTCATCCCGTTTTTTGATGATTTTTTTCAACTTATGAGAAGCTTCCTATTTATAAGAAGGCGAGGTCGGTTTCTTTGACCTCGTTTCCCTTTGTTATTTAGGAATATTTCTCCTTTTCCGCTTAGGAAAACTTCTTCTTTTCCTTATTCTTTGGAGATTTGCCATTATCTTCATAGAATCTTCCTTAATCCACAAGTCAGTGTGATTTTCCTTATCTTGATGGGCTTAGGTTATTGTTAGAAAAAGCCTTTTAGGAAATGTGCTCATTTCCCCCTCTAACAGTAGACAACATATAGTTTGGAGGGCTAACGGCAGCCAACCCAAAAATGGTAGAATGACACTTTGTGAAAGTAAGATTTTTAGGTGAGGAGATAAATGAGCTACTTAAAGCATTAATCGGATCCCAAAATATCAGCCGAGATGAAAAGAATGGTATACGTTATGTGAAACTTCTCTTGCTCTCCTCTCACATCTCCGCTATGCTTTTAAGAGATTCTTGATTGGTTTATTCATCCTTCATTAAACGGCAAGATCATTCATGCCAGTGTCTACCAATTATGGAAACA